TTTTTTGTTTGTTGTTTTTTTGTTTGTTGTTTTTTTGTTTGTTGTTTTTTTGTTTTGTTTTTTGTTATTCTTTTCATTTTTATCATTTTTATCTTGTCCTGTTTTGTATTTTTGATTATTATTTCAAAATTATGTTTTTCCTCTGGGTTTTCTCCTGTAAAAAAAAAAAAAAAGGCTCATCAAAGGAAATATCTTGTCGACCTTATCTTTCGTTTTTCGTTTTCCTCAGTTTCCTTTCCCATCCTTGTTATGTCCTGTTTTTTCATTTTTATTATTATCTTAACTTATTTTTCTCTGGGTTTTCTCCAAAAATCAAAAGACGGTCATTTCTTTCGTTTCTATTTTTAAATGATCGATGTAGTCACAGATTTTGGTTTTCATTATGTTATAACCCTAAGCATCTTATCCATCGATAATGGTCATCATTCATTATTAATAACTAAATGTTTTTTTATCCAGACGATATCCTAATCCTATTTAAAAAATTTAAAAAAGAGTGTGCAGATGATTATCAATTAAATAACATAGAATTGAAAAGCTAAACTAGACGCATTTCTGCGTGAACTCGGGCTTCATAGCAGAAAATCGAAAGAATTCTTCGTGAACACTGTCATCCTTCTGACGAAACCTTGAAAAATTCCGCCATTGCTCGACCATGTGCTTATGTGGCGCATACTACGCACGCGCATAGAACTTGCGCATGCGCTTTGAACGCAACTGCGATTTGTGACAGAACGCAAATAAAGCCCAATTTATACCTCGGGCATTTCTTTGAAAGCCCGAGTAAAAATTCCACTTTTTAAGGATGATCAGGATAAAAAACTAATGAATAATGAATGGAATACCTATACCTCAACGACATCATTCTGACACTCAATTTTTTTATCTTTTTTTATCTACGTATATTTCTATAACCAAACGCAGTGTGGTCTACCCAAACTACGCATGGTTTTGTAGAACGCTTTTTAAATATATATTAACGACGATTTTGAAAGTCGTTAATTTTTGATTAACCTATATTGACCAAGAAAATCCGCGGTCTGGAATAATCTTCAATACTAAAAGTATGGAGAGAAGAAGAATATTAACTTTTTTATGTTTTAAATGGATTATTTTATTTCTGATATGTTATTGCTGGAATGGACAGCATTAAAAGAAGATTTTCATAGGCAAAAATAGAATGAAGGGACAAAGGAACGAACATATTGAATGAACGAACAACACGTAGGATTCGCGCGCAAACGAAGGAAGGAAGCAAGCAAGAAAACCTATGAAATGCTTGACCTTTACCTGAGTACTTCTTACTCTACCCCACAATCCTACAAACAGTCGTTGTCTCATTTACTGTCATGGGTTGAGAGGCATAAAACGCGAACGAACGCAGAAAGGAAGAAAGGAAGAAAGGAAGGGGAAAAAATATAAAGGAAAGTGAAGATGAGAAGGTTGGGTTGCGACAGCGTACGCACTCCATGAATGATACTCCTCAAAGTTTCTTTCCTCCGCGTTCTTTTCAAGAAGACTTTTCTGTAATTATTAATATCTCAGTCTGAAAATGTATAAATAAGTTAACGTGTTCAAAGTTTTGTTCGAAGCATAACTTCACAGTATGGTCAAGTGTCATTCACGGCAGCCATGTTGTCACTACTAAGGGCAGGAACAAGTGTTTCTTTTGTATAAAATGGTTATGGAATGGCAAGACATTTCTTCATATTGTTTAAATCCCCCACAAAAGCCGGAACAAAATCACAACATTTTTCAAAAGTTTCCAATTTGTTCAATAATTTTTTTCCTAAGCCACACGCAAGTCAAAATTTAGTATATTACGAAGAAGAAAGAATTATTCTCGTCTGACAGTCTCTTTGACTAAGTTTCTCCCTCGATAGACAAACTTGTCCTGGGTTAAACAAACTGGTCGCAATTGGCTTTAACGATTTTATAGGGATAAGTTAATTGTTATCCTATCTATCGTGACCGGGCCCCAACATGGCTGCATTTCTTGAAACCCCTTTGTTGCACTCTGAACAATGAACGATTGTAGTTGACAAATTAATCAGTGTATTTGACTTGTGACAAAGATAAGGCTTGATCCCACTATATCGTTCACAACCGCAGGGGCTTTTTTCTTATAATCAGCTAACAGAACAAAACAGTCCTAGAATAAAAACAGAAGTAATCGAGAAAACAAAGTTTTGAGTTCACTTTCTAGTTCTAGGCCTTCATGGTGACTCTTCTACGCTTCTAGCTTGTGCGGCTGCGATGGCAGTGAGTTTTATTGCAGGGACTTTTTTGTTAAACGTTTTTGTGCGCTTCATAAAAGTCATGTCTTATATGATATGATAAATATCTCTATATTCCTATGCTCCGTAATCTAATTATGGTCTATCGATCAGTAAGGTAGTTTAAAAGTAGCATGGTTTTACCACTTAAAAATCAGGTAAAAAGTTCATAGTATTTCCCCCAGATGTTTCCATGCACGCGAGACTTGAGAAAAGCCTTTATTTTGTCAAAGTATCACGGGACACACTAATTGAACGATGGCCATGTGGTTTATACGCCGCCTTCGTTTGTTCCTCACGTTAGCAGTTCCTGCGAGCAGCCCAACTTGACTCTGGTTCACACGCTCGCAAGCTACATGAAGTACAATGTTGGCAATGGTGTCAAGAGGACACCGAAACGTCGTTCTTCAAATTACGATATTACATTTAAAATGTATACTTGAAGAAACTTATTACTTAGGTTTATGTTGGGTTTTTTGTACACACTTGTCTAATTTTGGAAAACGCTTTTAAAATTTCACCACAACTCAAGAATCGATGTTCATTCTTTCTCCGATCCATTTCAGTTCCGTGAATGCGCGGGTCAAATTTTTCTATCTAAATAATTCAGTTGCGGGTTAAAAACTGCAATCAGGTCATATTTTGAGYACATCTCAGTATTTAATGGAAGATATTTAGTAGAGATAGTTGCTCAAGAACTACCTTGACCCTTCACAAATTAATGAGCCCTGGGATTATACTTTCTCAATGAACTTTTCGGATGAGCTTATATTTTAGAAGAGGGTATATTTGTGGGGAAAATTTGCGTTAAAAATAGCTTGCATGGATCGATTCTAGTAGTGCATTTTGCTCCTCAAAATACCGTATTTAGCGTTGTGATAACAGTAGCCAAGAACTGTTCTATTTGATCTTTACATCTCTCTAACCACCAACAGGAACAATCTATATTCACTTATTCAGTTGTGACACAATATTATTGATTGAGTGCATTCAATATATCCGTGAGAACCTTTGTAAGAAATTCCACAATTTTGCACAAATTAGTAAGTTCAGTAGACCTCAGTAGACCGTAGACCTACAAAACTTTACACTAATTTGTACAATTTTATTAGTTAACTTTTTCACGGATATATGGTTTGCATTCTAACGAATATGAAATCTCAAAACGGCAAAACTTGGACTATATACATCTTTAGTTTGGTATATAATTTACAGGTCTTTTTAGTTTAAAAATAGCCTCAAAGGTTTATATTTGGGAAGTCTTATTATATTATATCATTTATTTATTTATTTTTCAAATCTTAAATAAATAGGAGAGGCTTATTTTCTGAGTTTTACGGTTTATTTTTATATACTTATTTCAATAAAGTTAGTTACCAAAAACCTAGAAAGCTGTGATCGCTGAGAATCATGGGGAAATGTTATATATCCAACAAGTAAAGCTTTTGACACAAACTGCAGCAGTTGAGGGTGCTCAAAGGAGGTTAACTTGTAACTGGTAGAAGATCTCAAGTCCATCAACAGTTATCAAGCGGTTGAAACATGTAAAATGTATCTACCCATAATCCTTGTCGGTCTCAGCTTTGTAGCTTTTCAGGTAACTAACTTTATTGAAATAAGTGTATACGTGAGGGAAAAAATAGCATTACGTACGTCACTGGTAACAACCATACATTCTACTCGCTACAGAGTAAAACTAAACTAACAGGTACCTCAATTGTAAATTTAAAATATACCTTTTACTGATACGGCGGCCATCTTGGATTATGGGATGTCGAGGGGGCGGGGTTACATCTTCAAATTCTTTGAAGTCTTCGTCTGTCGCATATTCTTCCAACTTCCAGCAAATTCAATTGCTTTTTAGATGTGCTTCTCATTGAAAAGCGTAAAGTTGTATAAAAAGACATTCTGACAGCTGTACTATGTACTGTCTATATATGTTCCAATAATTGTCCCCTCGGTATCCCATAATTCAAGATGGCCGCCGTATCCGTAAATAGGTCTATTTCCCTGGATATTGTAGTCTTGATTTTTTATTAATTTGAAGGTGATATGTAGAGAGTTTTAAGAATAAGTATACGCTTGAGGAACAGCGCTATCACTATCTCTCAACGACTTTTTGATGAGCATTCTAAAAGACATAAAGTCAAACAAGATGGCGGCGGTGATGACGTCATATGCACCATAAAATATGCGGCTGGTTGGCAAAATGTCGTCCAAATTAATTGAAATTTCTTGTTGTTTTAGCACGAGGCTAGATTTTATGTCAGAACTCGTGAAGCCAAATGACAGTATTTTCAGTAGTTAGGAAAGTTGGGTCCGCTGGAGAAGTGACATTCACTAGATCCGTCCCATTTCTGGTGCAAGCAGTTTTCGGTCTCGTCAATCGAATAACCGTTGAGAAGTCTTCCCTAACAGCCATTTTTCATATTGACTTCACTAAATCAGTAACGATGTATACTGCATTCAAGCCCGTCTGGGTTTTTAGCTCGATTGTAACAGCCGAATTCGCTTATAAATTTGAAAATGTAACAGTCAGGTTTGATCGTCAGTGGGACAAAATATACAACAAAATAAATGGCGGCGCCTATTTTTTTCCAGTAACAGGGTTTGGCTTTCGCCACGGAAAGATAACCCACACATTAGACGACTTTAATGTTATCTTCAGTTGATTAGTTGATTGTCGTAACGTCGTAATTGCGTGCATCGTCGCTCGCACGCATGCAGCACACGTTTCAGTCGGTTCAGCTTTTACATGGCTTAATGCACGTATATGACCAAAGAACCCAGAATTGGTTCAGTGATTCACGTTTTCCGTAAACCATATTTACTGTCTTTATTTGACTAATACTCGAACAAGACCATTTTAATGTAATTGAGTCGAAGTTTATAGCAATAATAGGATTAGTTAGGCATATTGGCTTTGAAAATCCCTCTCACACTCTTACAGTTTGACTAAAAATTTGCGCATTCTATAATATTTGGAGGTCAGGGTTTGGCTTTCGCGGTGAAAGAAAGCCCACACGTTCCATTACCACGACTTTAGAAATTCTCTTCAATTGATTAGTTGATTGTCGTACCATCGTAATTGTGTGCATGGTCACTCGGTCGGTCGCTGCACACGTTTCAGTGTTCAGCATTTTCATGGCTTTTCTTCGAGCTCGTTTTCCTATTGCTGTCTAATGTACGTGAAGTTTGGTGGGGTGGGTATCTATTTCCATGGCACTGCCTTCTGACTGTTGTGTAGTTTAAGCCGTGCGTCTCAGATTCAATTCTCAACAGAACGTTGTCATTCCCAAACAGTGAAAGGCGATAGACGATAGGTCATTCCGATATGGAGATGGTTTCGTTGAATGCAAAGAACATTAAATTAACAACATTAACACCAAAATCCACGCTCTTGACAAATACAAAAAGCAGAAGTCATTCCAGCTATTCTTGGATCTTGGAATAAGCTATCTCCAGTCGCTTTTCGCCTGTTGCCTATCGCCTATCGCCTTTGGCAACGATGACAGCGGTTTTTGAAATTGAGTTTGTTTAATGTGTTGTTGTCCCCCCCTCCCCC